TGGTTCAGTGCAGTCTCGCATGTGGTGCGTTTGAGTGTGTGATCTGAAGGTTAAACCCTTGTAGGGCAATGACTAGTGTTGTTAAATTAAACGAGCCGAGCTCGAGCTCGAGCTCATTTAAAGGTCGTTTGGTTAACGAACTCGGCTCGATAAAGCTCGAAAAGAAATTTTTTATATGATTTGATGTAGTTCTGCTCCTTAAAGCTCGATTTGAGCTCGAGCTCGATTTCTGGCTCGTTTATTAACGAGCTCGTCTCGTTAAGGGCTCGAGTGCTCGAGCTCGGCTTGGCTCGTTTAGAGGCCTAGCAATGACTACGGGTAGGGTGACTTCCATTGGATACACATTTTCATTTATAGAAAATTTCATATTCTCAAGCAATATTTTGGATGTTTATTAAATAAAAGCCATTCCAAATGAATCACAAAATTTTATTTGCTGTCTATGTTTCTTCACTAATTGATGTTGTGTTTTTTGTTGGCTCTACTGCTTGTACAGATATGAGGGCTCAGCATCTCGTGCAATGGTGGCCGTTGATCAGTTCTCTGGACAGTTGAGTGGAAGGAGCCGTTGATGCTGTTGAAAGATGTCGAATTATACACTGATATATTGCATTCTGAAGTTTTTTTNNNTAATTAAGAAAATGGAAAACGAGTGTTCGTGTTATTTCTAGCCAAGTTTAACAATTGTCTAACTGACCATAGTAAACTTCCTCTGTAGTTCATTTATGCAAACAAAGCTATGGTTGCTGAATATGGCTAACCTCTTCTATTTAGCTCTTAAAACAATTTTTTACGAGTCAAAATAGCAGGTAAACAACCATAGTGCTTTAAATATTATGTGATATTGCCAACACAATTGTTTAAGCTTATAAAGCTCTATGTTACATATTGACAACCAATAAAAATGCTTTAAACATGTTCAATTACAATATGAATTTGCACATCAATAGAATAATACATTCGTTATGTTAAATACTAAATAGTGCAGTAAGAATAGAAACCCCCAAACCACAGAGATATTATCTGCTTTGCTCTCCTTTTATTTTCTTCATATAAAGGCCTTGATAAATAGTTGAATTTCTTTACTTTATTGTAAATATATGAATGTGCCCTTCAACAATATTTTCATTTGTCATAACAATGAGAATCTATATCAACGGGTGCTCATTATTGTCGAAAACCCGGTTGTGACAGGTTTTGTCACAAGGGTACGGGCAATCAATCTTCTTGAACGGACTTCTGTCGTAATACCAATCTCCAACTGCTTTCGCAATTGACTGCAAACCACACAAAATTCATAATTACTTGAGTGTCCATAAAAAAACACGACTAAAATTTTGATTTTTTCTTCCTTCCTCGTGACCAAACAAAGAAATTAATTGGCTAGGATAGTGTATAAGAGACCTGTAAACGAGCCGAGCTGAGCTCGAGCTTGAGCCCTTAACGAGCCAAAAATCGAGCTCGAGTTGAGTTCGAGTCTTAACGAGTCGATCTCAAGCTTTAACAAGCTGAACTATAAAAAATTATATAAGAATTCTATTTTCGAGCCTTAATGAGCTGAACTATTAATCAAACAAGTTTTAAATGGGCTCGAGCTCGACTAGTTAAGGCCTCGAGCCGAGCCAGACTCGTTTAATTTAAAAGCATTATTATAACCTTGTTGTCTAACACAGGGGAGTCGCCACGGAGCCACGTTTCTTGTGTTTCGGTTTGGCAATGCGCGTAACACGAGTTGATGAAGTATCCTTTTGATGTGGACAAGGCTAATCCGCTTATTGCGTTTATGAACTGCAATCTAAAACC